TACTGCCTGCCATGGGCAGGTAGGTAACCACAGATGTCCCATGTCTCTCTCACAGGGTACCCCATCCCAAATGGGGGGACCCCTCATAGCTAAAGCCAGTCCACATATCAGGTATAGGAAATATATAAAACAATTTCTGAGGTCCAGAAATTCCACTATTCTACTTCACTCCCTAGTAGAGGTTTAGGAGTTTTCAGAGGCTTCAGTTCATTGAAAGGAAGGGGAGGAGGATCTATTAACCCATGGGTGTCTTAATTAAGAACAAAAATAGACAAGTAACTGATCCTGGGGCGGAAGCAGTCTGGAGCCCCAGCTCGAAAATGAAGGGCTCCAGAGGCTGGGTCTTTCCTAACAAGCCAGGAGTACAGAGGGTGGGACTCTTCCCCAGATCCACGTATCTGCTCATGTCCCCTAAATACACCAAGCTGTCACATCTTGGTACGGGCTACTCTTTCTGCTTGGGAAGACTTCGCTCACCCTTGCAAACTCTTGGCCATCCTTCAAAGCTCACCTGAAGTGTCACGCCACCTTCAGGTAAGCCATTCTCTCCCTCCAGAATGTACCAGTAGGGTTTGGTATAATGTACATATTTGCCTCTCTCACCACCTTCAAGTAAGCCATTTTCTCCCTCCAGAATGTAGGGTTTGGTATAATGTACATATTTGCCTCTCTCACGTGGCAGAAGCCGGGTTTCACTCACCTCTGGTCCCCTGCACCTCATTCTGAACCCCTGAATCAAAAGCTTCCTGGCGTCTTCCCACCATGAGGGACCGTTCAAGCACCCTGGCCTCTCTGGCCTCCCAGGTCTCTCCCTCTGCTGAGAGAATGGTAGCAACGGCAGCATCTCATGTTTGCTGAGCACTTACTTTGAGCCACATGCTACCACAAGGGCTCTCCACACACTACCTCCTTTCATCCTTGAGACATTCTTGTACGGGAGTTGCTATCATTAACCCGGTTACACAGGGAAATCAGGCACAGAGAGGTTAAGTGAGTTTCCCAGGGGCACACAGCTAGTGAGGGGAAGAGCTGAAACTGAGACTCTAATGATGTGGTTCCAGAGCCAGCATTCTTAATCACTGCTAATCCTTTGGGGGGCTAGGAAGATTAAGCGGGGGAGAGTAGTCGTCAAGACAAGCTCTGAGCGGAAGAGGAAGTTTCTCTTTGCCCAGGTACCAGCCAAAGGCCCGGGAAGAGCAGCACCTTCTCCCAGACGGAGCCTGCTGCTCCCGGACCTAATCCCATTCAGAGTGCCAGTTACAGGAAATTTAAAAGGCCCATCTGCAAGTGCCTTGGCCCCAGAGCAGGGAGGTACACGGCTGCCCACTGGGAGGCAGAGCCATGATTTGGGGCTATTCTTAGCAAACCACTGGCTCCCCTCCCAGAGGCCCAGCAGGCGGCAGGCCCAAGCTTCCATATGCCCTGCCTCCCATTTCCTGACCCTGCATGGAGGTCTCACAGGGCTAAGGAGTGGCTGGTGGGCAGGAGTGTGAACAAAACACTCCAGCTTTTAAATGAGAGGTGCCTGCCTGCCCAGCCTTCCCAGAACCAGGCACCTGGCTGCTGGAGCAACTCTGTGGAGCCCTGGTGACAGGCTCGTGATCAAAGCTCCACTGAAAGAGTGCTCACTCTGTACCAAACCCTAGGCCACATGCTTTCCACAGATTATCTGCCATTTAACCCTCATAACACCCCCAAGGGTTAGGGGTTACTGGCTCTATTTTAAGGAAGAGGAGTTTCATTTTAAGTGAGTTGGTTAAGACATTAAAAAATTTGCCCGGGGTCATATAGTGATTTAGTGTCAAGCCATATCTAGACTCCGGGCTGGCTCCCAGTCTCCAGGTTGGGCAGAGGACAGGTGACCCCTTCCCTGCCCAAGCCCAGAGTTTGGGGGAGAAGCAGTCCACACCAGAGAACAATGGTCTCATCAAAGACCCCACAACATGGCTACTCTTTCTCTCCCCAAACGGATGGTCCCTTCCCTCCCAGAGACCGTCAGGCTTGGGCTCAGAAAGAGTCCCCAGCCAGATTCCTCTCTTACAGAAGTCACATGGTCTTGCTTCAGGAACATTCTGGAGACTCAGGGAAGATGAGACAAAGGTTCGAGGAGCCCCTGCTGGAGCTTAAAGACTGGGAAGGTCAAATGACTCTCAAGGCGAAACAGAATTCTGAGCCCCTTAGGGTCTTCAAACCCCAACGTGGGCAGTCTAGAAATAAAGCCACACCACAGAGCACCTGTACCATCACCCCAAACAGAACCACTTCCGGGCACTGCTGCCACACAGAGTCACTGGGATAACTGAGCAGCGCACGCCTCAGACTACATCGTGGTACCCACCTCTGTCCATGTCCTGGCCTCTACTGTCAGGTGACTCAGCAGATATATGTGTCCCCGGGGAGCGGATATATGTGTCCCTGGGGAGCCCACAGCCAACTCCATATCTGCCCAGGTACTCAAGCCATTTCCATGTCTTGAGCCAGTGAATGCCAGCTCACATCCAAGTCTGTAGGCCATACGTCGGCCCATTTACATCTCTGGCTCCCACAAGGGGAGGTTCAAATCCCCATGAAGGTATAGATCTGCCTGTATGGTGTCTGCGGCCCATGTATGGGCCACATTTCTGTGTTCATGTCGTCCGCCCCTGCACACATCTTGCCTACCTCCACTGTCTTTTTGTCTGTCTTCATCATGTCCCTATTCAGTTCCGCCATCTCTGCTCATGTACTGTAAACCCGAGTTCGCACATGTCTCTGCCCATACCAGCATCCCCGACCTGTGCCCGGTTGACCTCGTGTGTGCCACCTGTTTGGAGGTGGGTGGGTATGTTCACCCAAGTGCTCACAGTGCTAGCCAAGGGCTTCGGGGTGAGCTCAGCAACTCCCACTCCCAGAAGAGCCGCCCAAGGCTACAGGCACAAGCACATTGCCACCTCCGCAAAGTGTTCCAGAAAAGCAGAAACCTGTCAGGCATGATGGGGGAGGAGGCAGAGCCCCAGACACAGCAGAACCTCAGGGGTGAAGTCAGTACTGCCCCAGGGACCACCCACCTCAAACCAGCCCTGCCCAGCCCACCCACTTCCAACACCCAACTTCACCATCGATGGCCAGAGAACTAGAGGATGCCTGTCTACACTCACAGGAAACACTGTCTGGTTCAGGACCTTCAGCTTCCCAACCTCATCCTCAGCCCCCAGCCAAAGAAGTCCTTCAGAAAGGAAGTGAGGACTTCCTCTCTGCTGGCCTCCTTTAAAGTTGGATCTAGACCCCAAACCTCAGAGGCCCCAGGGCAGCTGGAAGAGTCCTGTGCTCAGCCTGTCCCCAGAAACCTAATGGGTTTCTTCAGAAATCTACCAGCAGGAAGGAAAAAAACACCCTGGAGTGGGGCTGGGGGCACATAGATGCAGGAAAATTTCGTGAGCTCTCCTGCTGTTCCCTGTCCCTGGAGGTGGTGAGAGGTCTTCATTAAGAGCAGGGTAATCAGGAAGGATAGGTATGGAGCCAGAACATTTTAAACATATTTGCATAATTGCATGAAAGCTGGGTCCCAGCCCCTCTCCCCACATCGTAACCTATGTCACTTGTTTAGCAATTAATCATGGGTAGCCTCTTGGCATTTCCACTATTATTACTAGTCCTGGACTGGTTTGGAAACCCTGTATCAGCAAACTTTCTGAGTGTCTTCCCCCCGTGGGGCTGAGCCACCAGAAGACAGAACCCTCCAGCGCCTTTCACCACTGCCATCCTCCCAGGCAGAGCCCAGTGCCTTGCATTTAAGAGGCGCTTGGTTATTGGGTCTGGTTGCTCTGCATAAAAGCCAAGCAGTTGGTGCCTGGACCTCTGGCTGGGAATGTAAAGAATCCCAGAAGCTCGGCTTTCTTCCATCTCTGACGCCCCAAGATATAAGAGCATGTTCCGACCATCCTGGCCACTTTAACCAGCCGGGTGCAGCAGGTCTCCCACAGAATACACTCTGCTCTCTGACAGGTGACTGCTCCTTCAGGAAAAACCTCCTAAGATAAAAAGGGGGCTCTCCAGGGAAACCCAGGCCTACAGACGGAGCAGGCCAGAGCGGCCCAGAATCAAAGCTTGTGCCCACTGGGACCTCTGGACTCTACCGCTTCCATGGGCCTCAAGCCTCCTAAAGTTGAGCCCAGGGAGACCCCAAATGTGGATCATAAGACAGCTTCCCTCCCCGCAACTGCACAGGAAGCCCGCATCAGGGGCCGCCAGCCCATGTCTACCTCAGTGTAAGAGGGTAGCCCGGAGCGCGACAAACAAACGACCCAATAACTCCTCACTGTTTAATACGTGATGTCCCGCTTCTCTCCCAGACACCTATCCCGTGAGGGTTTGAGTGGAGGCCCAGAACTTCTCTCCCTGTGCGCTCGCGGGGATAGGGAGTGGGTGGTCGGAGCGGCCCCGGCTGGGCGAAGGGATGTGGGGTGGGGGAGAGGGGCAGAGGACTCCCGGATCTGCACTTCCCTTTCGCCAGTCCCGGGTCTGGACGCATCGGTACCTGCCAGCCCGTGGCTCCAGGGAGCATCCGCGCTCCTGCAGTCGGCACGCTGCACCCAGACTGCGGGCGCTGATTCAGGCTGCGGCGGGACTCGCCCAGCGCGGGCTCCGGCTCGCTCCTCCCAACTTCCCCAGCCCATCCGTGGGCAGAGGCGGCTCTGGAGGCGAGCAGGCCGGGCGCGACGAAGCAAGGGAACCAGTGCAGGAGCCCGCGCTCGCGGGCTACGGGAGCTGCGT